TTTTCTCATCATAGTAGCTTCATCTGGTCTGTTCCTGTTCAGATGTGAGTCCATTCTGGATTGAAATATCAGTTGTGCTGCTGCCATGGACATATGCTTACAGATGTTGGAGCTTAGCCTGTTTCCAGGCCTATTTATTATAATTCAGACTGTTAAAAACTATACCTACTTTTGAGCAAAATAAATTGTACTTAGGATAAAAATGAAAAATAAAATATTTTTATAGAAACGTTTATACAAAAAAATGCACCTTAAATCACTTTATGACAAAAAGTAACATGCAGCAGGTGTTTCACTTTCAACAATAAACATGTTTGATCGATTATATTTAATCCAATTCTATCTGGACTGATCTGAAATTGAATTTATGGTACATCTTTCAGCTGCTGCAAATCACAAACTGAGTTTCAAACATTATGCTGTTAGTGTCAAATAATCTAGTGCAGGTTTGAAGAGTCCGAGGATTAAAGATGCAGAAAGTAGTGAAAAAAATAGGAAGAGTTGTCCTTCTGATGATTTACTTTCAATAAAAGATATAAATAATATATTTTAATTTATCTATTCATATAAGAAAATACATCAGAACTTCTCAGTTTTAATCCAGCTAATATGAAAACTGATCAATGATCTATCAGGCACTTTCTGTCGCTAATATGAAAACTGATCAATGATCTATCAGACACTTTCTGTCGCTTCATACCTATTCTGTGGAGATTTATTTGGGGTTTCCAGTAGATTTCCATCAGTCTGTTTTCTTCCTCGTAGAGGATGATGAGCTTTTTCAACCTCTGTGAAGATTTCCTCAGCAGCAGCAGTTAGTCGCTCTCTGATAAACTCTCTCAGATGCTGAACTACAAAAAAATTATACTAAAACTACTGAAATATTCAGCTGAGATACGAAAACACAACAAACTATTAGCTAGGTCCCCTTTAGCCGCTTTTGTTTTGCTTCCTGGATGTCACAAAGCAGCTGAACGGTCTGCCTACTGCCCCCTGCTGGGCGGAGGTGGAACAGCAATACAATTGTCTGAACAAGACCACAACTTTCCTAAACTTTAATTAATGGGGCAGATATTTACTAGATATTTTATACAGTAAGAGGTATTTTGTTTCAGTCTGTCTAATATCATCATACATTTTCATAATGCACGAGTTAGTTTTTAGTTCTAATAGTATTTAGAGTCCCTTCTTCTATGGCTAGTATTTCTATATTCATCCAACAAACACGTCCACTAACCTTCATCTGTCTGGGTCTATACAGCACTGGCTACCATGGCAACAGAGCTCAGGCAGGATGATTTCCCTCTGACCAGGGGAGTTGGTCAGAGTCTCCTTCAGAAACTGACTACTTTAGTGGGACAATGTACTCTGCTATCAGTAGATATCTTCAAGTCTTAGAGAGAAATCTTTGAAATACATCAGAAGAAATCGTCCGTCAAAATTGTAAGATTAGATTATATCAGTCCAGCCTAAAGGTTGACAGTATATTATGAAATGATATCAATAATGATAACAGCAGCCAAACCATACTGAGACTAAGGCTGCTAGAAAACGCTGAAAGAAGTCACTGAGGGCTCTGGACTCCATGCTGAACCTCCTCAGTCTTATAGAATAGAATTTAACTTTATTGTCATTCCACTGTCACAAGTACAGAGCAACGAAATTAATGCTCTGCATTTAACCCATCCCCTTGGGGAGCAGTGGGCTGCCATTGTGCGGCGCCTGGGGAGCAGTGTGGGGTTAAGGTTCTTGCTCAGGGACCCAGGGTGGCAGTATGTGGGAGTGGGGGATTGCACTCACAACCTCAGCATTCAAAGCCCTATGCCCTAATCACCAGCCCCCCTATTCTTACTGATGTTTCTGATCATATTGATGTAATTTCATAATCTCAGATCCTCAGTGAAGCTTGGAGCAACTGGACCATGACAGAGATCTGCTCTCCTCACTGTATTTTCCTGTGATCAGACCAACTCCTTGGTCTTACTCTCCTTTAATATCAGCTTCTTTCTCTTGCATAACATAGTCTTTGTTCTCACCTTAAATAAAACTCATGATGGTGGGTTTTCTGTATATTAATTGCTGCTGTTTAATGTTTTCCAGCTGTAACTGAACAGGACGTACAGAAATGGGTCAGCAGCTCTCTCTGGAGGTGGTACCAGCGTTAAGGTGTGGTGAGAAGAAGGATTCATTTTTGATCAGTACCGCATGTTTCCTGTTGCATAAGTTGATGATTAAGATCTCAGAGCTTTGCAAAGGATGTGAAGTTATTGCACTAAAGCCTGGCTTGTTTTACTGTGACAGCTGGGAATGTGAGCAATATTGTTTAATGTTTAAACCTGAATGACTTTTATATTTTATTGAAAGTAATTTGTAATGTGATTTATTCAATTGAATTGATTGAATAAGTAAATCATAGATAGCTCAGTTGCATTTCCTTCACATTCCTTTTTTTCCTGATAGAGGAGCAAGAGAATATATTGTAATTGAGGTAAAACTGCCCAATTTATCGTGATATTGATATGAGATCATTTGTGCTGTCCCCTGAAGGGAGTAGTACACACCGCTGTAGGAAATCTTCCATTTTTAAGCAATTTCTCACATGGAATAGCCTTCATTTCTAAGAACAAGAATAGACTGTCAGATTTCAGATGAAAGTTCTCTTTTTCTGGCCATTTTGAGCGTTCAATTGACTCCACAAATGTGATGCTCCAGAAACTCAATCTGCTCAAAGGAAGGTCAGTTTTGTAGCTTCTGCAACGAGCTAAACTGTTTTCAGATGTGAACATGATTGCACAAGGGTTTTCT